ATATATTTTGAAGTATAGTAGAAAGAAATAAGCATGTAACGTAGTAGAAAGAAATAAACATGTAATGTTAAATATTTGCATAATCGCCTGTAGTAACGGCAACCGCCGGCAATAAAAGGAGGTGCTTTCCTTAGTGGCACCGCAGTTCCTTTTAGTTCGAGCCAGAATAGACCTGCCCGGGGAGAAGCCAGGGGATGAGAGATTCCGGTTCCCGCCCTGTTCCGGTTCCCGTCTTGTTGCGGATCCAGTCCTGTTCTGGTTTCCGTCTTGTTCCAGTCCTGATCCAGTCCTATTCCAGTTCCAGCCTGGCCGTTTAAGTCCAAAACACGTAGGAGCGGATGTCTGAATTCAGCGAATGGAGATATACGCCGAAAGGACTAGATGGATTCTGTCTTTTAAGGGAAAGTGTTCTTCACCGTGCCGGCATAGCTGTTACTTTAAAGCACTTTGAAGTTTTTCCGCCCAAGATGTTAAGTTTTCGTTTATGATGTTAAGTTTTCATCAGTGTTGAAGTTCCAGTTAAATAAACCTTTAAGTTTTAGACAAGGTTTTTGTGTTCTTCAGAAAATTTTAGATTCGAAGTCAGATATAGCACATAGGATTATTATCGGAAAAATTAACATGTAACGTATATTTGTGGTTACAAATATACGTTACATGTTTATTTACTTGACTAACTAACTGTTGCCATTCAGCAAAAAAACAAAAAGAACTACAAATGAATATTAAGGAACATAGAGCATATATTTATTGCATTGCTTTGGCAGATACAACAACATAAAAGTAAACTAGAGCTTACTTCTAATAGTTTTTACAATTTCTCTAATTCGAGAGAATTTTCCACGAAGTCCACGGACTGTGTAAAACACATATTCTCGAGGAGATACATCTAGTCCTAGGGATTGGCACTTAGTTGCTATTCCTCTCGCTCTTGCGATATAATCATTAGCCGACTCATGCAACTTCATTTCGAAGTTTTTTAACTCATTATCGGCATCCATTTTTCGATCTTCGGCTTGTCCTGTAAATGTTGATTTTATTTTCTCCCAAAGAATTTTTGCATTCTCTTCTGTGGAGAACTGAAGCGCCTGTTGATCCGATAGTGAAAGTTTTATATACGCTACGGCATCAGCGTTTTTCTCATTCCACAATCTTTCATCTTTCTCGTCTAAGTTTTCTGGTTTTACAGTCGAAATTACTGAGTCAAGTCTTTTCAGTGATAAGCAGCTTTAATTTTCAATGCGCAGATAAAATAGTTCTCTCCAGTTAATTCGGGAACGTTCCACGTCTCCAGTTTTTGCTCCACTAGGACAGTTTCGGTTTCGACTTGGTATTTTATATCCAATTGTTCTTGATAAAACCACGGACCTGCTACCATTTGTTGTTGAGAGGCCCATATTTAGAGTAACGAAGCAATCGGTTTAGGACAACACACTTTATTTACACGAATAATGAATAAAAAGATCACACAGCAAATCGTATTGACCATCACACAGCATATATCATCTCACCATCTCCATACGCTCGAATGACGGATGTGTCGGGAGAAGAGATAGCTGCTCCATCGTAATTAATACGCATGACCATAAGAAAAAAAGTTCGCTCGCCTCTACCCAACAGTTAGGACATCGGATTCAAAATATTTGCTGTAAACATATTTATTTCTGAATTTTCTTTAATTGAAAACTAATTAAACTATATGTTATTCAACTACCTAATAAAATACAGTTTTCAATTAAAAAATAAATGAAAGTGCAAACATTTGATTTTTCTTGATAAAATTCAGAAAACCCATTTTTTACTCAGGGCCAGTTACATCTAATGAAATATAATCTAAAATTTTGAAATTTTATTAATAGACTATCTTTTTTGTTTGAACAACAAATTAGATTTTATTTACAAGCTATGAGTAAGAAGTATTAAAATAAAAATTACGGTCAGAAGGCATATTAGGATATCATTACCATGTTAAAATTTGAGGGTGTTGGAGACTTCAAGCAAAAGTTTAATAATTTTCGCTCAACCTCATACACAGAAAATGGCCGCCCACACTTCTGCAATAAATATGCTGATTGTGCATTTTAGCACTCGAAATAAATATTGCAGAGAGCTATAGGAGCCACACATCACCAGAAACCAAAGCGCTATTTCCGTTTTAATTTTACTGGCAGAGCATCTCGAAAGAACGCAATTTTTTTTGAATAAGTGGAGTTACCATTTACAATAAAGTTTCGAATCATCCTTCACCTATTCTGAAAATTTTTTATATCTTTCGATATCCTCGCCCCGAAGTTCATTTAAAAGTTGATCAAATGCTTCCAATTCATGACGGCGAGATACTCAGTCACGTATTGATTTCCTTTTCTTTTTCTTCTTTTTTTCCTCCCTAGAACAGAAATTAATTCGTTGGAAACTTCTTTGCAAACTTCAAGCACAGCAACTGCTACTTCAGTATCCCTTTTGCAAACAAATGGAGACGAGTTATCAGTCGGGCTGTGGTTGGTGTAAACAGTCTATCAGATTACAGGTCCGTTCCTTCGGTTCGAGAAGCTGTTACGAGGGGCTCGCAGAAAGTCACTAAACTGGCCGGAGAAATTTACACAAGGAAACAATATCACGGTTGTCGCCATAGAGGAAATACGTCATCGGATGACAACCATCGTCTAAGTTACCATAATCTATTCTTCGCTCGTTTGGTTTCACAGGCAGACTAATTCCACAGAAACAGGCAGCTTCATAGAATCATTTCTGTAGTATGATTAGCGATTAGCAAGTTCACTCACCTAGGCTAGTTAGCCTCATATTGAGTAGAATTGTGTTGATTTGAGAAACATAGTTTTTGTGATAGAATTTCAGATAATATTAATAGGGAACCCAGTGTTAAGGTAAAAACAAAGTTGTAAAAGTTCCGTAGATTGACGCCTATTCTATGATCACTGGATCTGTCTACAACTTGAGCGAACAATATTGACTCAAAAGAACCGGTATGGACAGCCATCACAACTTATCGGAGAAAGCCATTCTGTGGTCCTTAGTTGGAGGGCGGGTGGGTTCATTTAACTTTACTGAAAGGGGACAAGGCTTCAAGGAGCTTTAGACCAATCGCACTACAGACGAGTAACGAAATTTATAGCGCGCGCTGGCTGAAGTTCTAGGAATATTCTCCTATTATTTCACTAACTCACACGCTGCATTTGTAGTTCGAAAAAAAAAATTGCACAAAACAGTATTATGACCAACACGCAGTAGAATATGCTGCTGTGTTATGTGAAAGGAAATCTCGTTTTTTAAGGGGAAAGTTAACGCAGGAATTTAGAGCTAAGAAATAAAGAGTGATATGGGATACCACGATAAAGCAATGGTAAATAGATAAGAGTAAATGAAATTAAGCTTACTTCAAATCCTTTTTAGAAATAAACAATTTTAATTATTTAAATTTATAATATGATTAATTTGCATTACAATCTAATAGCAAACTAAGTTTTTTTTTTTTTTTTTTTTTTTCATGTTTACATTAAAACTGCTTTCCCGCAATTTATTTTACAGTTACTATTCGAAAAATATTTCTTTCTTAATATTTCTTCCACTTTTTGTTTTCTTTTTCTATGAAAATTATTTCTTTCAGGAAAAGAAATAAAATTCATTCGCTATTATAGTATGGCCGATTGCTGCTGCTTTCAATTATCACACACGCATCAAAATGCTTTATTTTAAATAATTTATTCTATAATTAACATGAAACAAAATATTTTTTCAATATAAAATATAATTATATTGAAAAAATATTTTCTTTCATGTTAATTAATTAAACTAATCTATCCTGTATGTGTGATTAATTCGTTTTGCAATTTTTGTCACACAATTACTAATACCTTTTTTTCAATATTACATTGCTGTTATTTTAATTTCGTATATATATATAAGAACTGCTCAGTTTAAATATTCTTCCTTCTCAAAAGATTTTGTTCTGTGAAAATAATTAAAAGATAGTAATATTTTCACAATGGAAGTACTAAAGTAAAAATAATTAGTGTAGGTCCTCCTGCAGTTCAAGTCCTTGTCAAACCAGCGTTTCGACACATTTTAAATAGAAAAATAATAATAATCAATATCTCTTTTACAATATAAAAATGAGAATGCTATGAACAGTATTTTTATTATTTTATTTATTTTTTTTTTAAGTTTGCAAAGAAAACAATGATTTTTTAATACTATAATAGGTTATTACAAAAGTACTATTCCATGAACAAACCCTCAGTCTTATAGCATTGTTACTTTATAGCATAATACAATAATAATACAGTATAATTCTGCTAACAAGCCCACCAGCCGCCGAGCGGTAGAGTCGCTGAACGCAGGTAGTTTGGTTCGAGGTTCGAATCCCGCGAACGAGCTGGCCGGCGTTTTCGTGGCTTTCCCCATGTGTAACGTGTATACGAGCCAGTTTCCCTTAGAAAGTCCTCACTTAGAAACCAGTTTTAAAACGTATTAAAATTACACACACACACATACACACCAAAAAAAAATCTGAATGCCTTCAGATTTTATATTACTCCCAAAGGGCCATTTTTTTAACGTTTTGCGTGTTACCTTTATTTATTAAATATAATGTTTTTCGCACTTAAACCATAAAATTCAATTCAACAGCAATATCATATAATTTTAAAAAAGCATATCTTTAGAATTTCCGATACATAGTCTCGCGCGCTAGAGATGAAAATGTTTTGCCATTGCTCGCTTTGAAATCGTTGGGTTTCTTAATCAAAAACTCATAAATGCTTTACAAAATATGATATATGAAATGGATAGTAATACAAATTCCCAGTTCCAAATTTGGGCCTCCAGATGCCTATATTAGGATGGAGGATTACGTTATTCAGAATTTCATGGCTCTAGGTACCGTTGTTTTATCACAGTGCGAGAAACATTCATACATTCTGCAGACTCCTCATTATTTAATTTCTTTAAATACGAGTATATTGCAAAATGAAGGTACTTACCCCTAGATGACATTGCTTGTACAATCTTTGTCTTCTTAAATTATGTTATTTATATTTATATAAAAATTTCACTTTTTCACAAGAAAATTTTTATCCAGGTTCTCACAGTTTCACCTTTTCACAAGAATATTTTTATCCAGGTTCTCACAGTTTCATCTTTTCACAAGAAAATTTTTATCTAGTTTCTCACAGTTTTGCAAGAAAATATGTATCCAGGTTCTCACAGTCAACAAGTTCACAAGAAACTGTGTATATGATAACCAGGGCTAGAAAGGGGGCATATGTCCGTGGGCACATCATCCAAGGGAAGCCAAAATGATGTTACGAATTTTTAGAGTTGAATGTTTTCCATTTTTGGCCAGTAGTCGGGAGGGGCACAAAATCTTCAGTTTTCCCTGGGCGCTGAAAACAGTAACTATGACTCTGCTGATAACTTATAAAATTTCATTTTTTCACAAGAAAAACTGTTATAGATTCCTTCCTTGTTAAAATCCAATACTTCGTTTCACTGAACTCCACTCTTATACTCGTATGTTTACATTGATAAATTAAAAAATATGAAATTCTAGCATATTGAAACATAAGTTAAGAAATATTTGTTTAAATTTATTAATTAAAAAAGGTGAAATTCTTACATATTGAAACAAAAGTTAAGAAATATATGTTTAAATTGATTAATTAAAAGAGTTGAAATTCTTGCATATTGAAAAATAAGTTAAGAAATGTATGTTTAAATTGATTAATTAAAAAAAAGTTGAAATTCTAACACAGGGAAAAATAGAAATATATGTTCAAATTGATTAATTAATAAAAAAAAATGAGTGCTATATACTGAAAAATAAGTTTTCTTAAAAAGAACTTACCATATATACAAATACCTTAATAAATGTTCTAATTTTTCATTTCTCATCCATATATATCACGTTTAACTATCATACACTTACCTGCATAACATAATTAATTTAAATATAAATTTAATTATTAATTTAAATGCCAAATAATATAATGCCGAAATTACATGCAAGTCAAATTTTTAGGTTGGAAGCTTTCTTTTAAATCGATTGTTTACAGTTTGAGCGTAAGTACTTCTTCGCCCTATAGCGTTTCATGCAAAACATTTCACTCTCGTTAAAGTACACGTTAATTAAAATTTCTTGTTCTATTACTTTAGACTGAATTACAATTAGTAAGTTATCATATCATGCTTAGTAATATAACATTAACTATGTTGTACAACATTGAAGAAATAGGGAATGTCAGGCGTCATCATGTCAACATGAAAAAGGGTAAGTTCAATTTTTCCTTTTGGCAATTCAGAATTGTTTTCCCTGTCCACTTCCCTCGGATAGGGAAAACAATATTTGGCCGCCATCTTGGATTTCGAAATGCGCTTTTTGGCGCATTTCTGAAATCCAAGATGGCGGCCAAAAACTCGCCAAATTCAGCCAAGAGCCGGGTATATAGTTTTAATCTTTAGTCTGATTTCTAAATTCCTGTTTACATTTCCAGTTTTTGAGTGTTGACAATGCCTACTACATGTTGTGCATACGGTTGTTCAAATAACAATATGAAAGACAGATGTAAAGAAAATAAGATTTCCTTCCATCTGTTTCCTAAGGATGAAAATCTGCGTAAAGAGTGGATAGTAAGAATAAAAAGGGAAAACTTCAATCCAACCCCCACTACCAGAATTTGCTCTGAACATTTTGAAGAAGAATGTTTCACATACCAGCCATTCACGAACAGGAGGTCATTAAAGGCAGATGCTGTGCCAACGAAATTTATTTTTATTTCGACTAAAGGAACCACTCGTAAGCGAACTAGTTATGTATTTGGTGAACCATCACAGGAAAGTTCAAGAGAAAAGAGGTATTTATCTACTAGTTTTATCAGAAATACATAGAGCATTTTTTTTTTTTTTTTTTTTTTTTTTTTTTTTTTAAATTTTCTACACTTTTGGTTTTAGAAAAAGATAAAAGCATAATTGGTGTGCTATGAAATTTAATTACTTTCTTCCTGTTTCAATGTTTTTTGCAGCTGATAGTTTTAGAAATGAAAATTGCCTTGATCGCAACTTAATTGCTGTCTATGGCATGATACATATTATTTCGTATTTGACAGGGTTTTTATTGCTTATGTGTTAAGGACTTGTTGTTTTATTCTTTTATCATGTTTCTTACTTCAATTCTTACAACTTTGGTAGACACTTCACTGACGAAGCAGTTAGCGAGGTTTCCACCTAATTTTAATACTTATTTCTATAATATGACACTTTCTATGCTTATTTCTTTGGTGTTTCTTACTTCAGTTTTTACCACTGCTAATAATACTTTTTAATAAATTCATTGAATTTGATTTCTGGGTTGTTATTATTTACTTCACCAGATTCTGATTACTAGCATCACATTGTAAGGTATCATATTAGACGCTAGCCTTAAGTTTATCCTTGCAAATAGCTTACTACATAGAAATTTTAAGCTTCTAAATGCTTCAGTATTGCTGATTTAAAAATAATTTTTATTGTTAGTTCATCCTCTATTTTGTATACCTTATGTTTATTTGCATGTAAAAGTTTCACAAAAAAATTGAAAATTTAGTAAAATGTCCCCCAAATTTAATTACTAATCAACCAAGATGTAACATGTAATGAGGTATGAGAAATATGTGGAAAGATTTCAATGAGATGTTTCAGTTGATTAGTGATTCAGTCTTGGGAACTGCTTTAATAAAGAATTCTATATATTACAAAAGTATTTAAATAGTTCAATAAAAGAATGCCAAATAAATGAGAGAACTTTTCCGTTATATATCTGCCATGCAAATTTTGGTGTGTGTGTGCGAAGTGGTATATGTGTACACACATACCTCATTTTTCTGTTATTCACACATACACATCAAAATGCATGGCAAGTGCATAATGGAAAAGTATCTAAATCAGTTACATTGATACCTTTCTAGCTAAGAGAATGCATTTTTTTATTAAGTTGCTGTACTGTAATCAGAATAGATATTTTAGAAATGTCTTTTCATAATAAAACGTTATTTATACTTGTAGTCAGATATTTTAAATTTATCAGTTATTTTGGTACTTTAGCTAGATGCAAGTGATAAATTAGATGTTTGCAACGTGTAGCATGGTGTAGTGTCACCAAAATGGGGGAAAGGGATTGTTATTCATAACATATATACTTTATACCCAGTTGAGTACCTGTATTTTATACATATATTTATTCCCAAATTATTAAAAGCACTGTTTTCTTTTATTATTTCTTTCTTTCATTATTATCTTTATTTTTCAAATTATTAAAAGGACACTTATGCATTTATTTTGGTCTTGGAGCTTGTTGTCTACAATATATTTTTTTATAATATTGAATATAACCCATCCTTAGTTACATATATACCGTCTTGAAATTTTCATGTATAATATCTAGAAATTGTAAATATATTTAAAAAAATAGCAATAATATGACTATGAATGTTGTTTGCCTGTCTATCACAACATTAAAAAAAGAAAATTAAAAAAAAAAAAAAAAAAAAAAAGCATATTGCTTGACTAATTTCTGATTAGGAAAATTCCTATTCACCAATTCCATCAACCATAACTATTCTGTGGTGTAGGAGCTGCAATTCATGCTTTAAATTTTGGACATTACTATTGAAGAAAAGTATTTATTTTAATATTAGAACTTTTGTTTTATTTAAACTGTCAAACTATTTATTACAGTACATATTTTCTTTTCCTTTTCAGAGCAAATATTCCTGTTTGCATAAGGAAGACAGTATCATCACAAACTGACGAGTCTTTTTTGTTAATTTTAAACGAATTTTGTCAAATGAGAGACCAATTGGATGCTGCACAAAATAATGTTTTATTGAATGTGTTTTCTTCAGCTAATGAGAGGATAAAAGTAAACATGAAATGTGTAACAGGTTTCTCTCATGAGACGTTTATGACAATATTCAACTTTTTAAATTTATCGGAAGATTTGTTAAAGAAAGATAGAATGCCACCTATTGATCAATTTTTCATGTTTCTAGTGAAAATTCGAACTGGAACCACAAATGAATTCCTAGGAATAATTTTTAAGATAGCTTCTTCTACAGTTTCAAAGATTTTCAATTGTGTAACGAGAATTGTTTCTACTAAGCTTAAATGTGTGAATATATAGCCAAAAAAAAACCCAAGTTAAAGAGTTCATGCCTCTGCAATTCTTACATCAATATCCAAATTGCCGAGTAATCATTGATTGCACAGAGCTCGAAATACAGAGGCCATGCAATCCTACAGAACAGCAACTAACTTTCAGCTACTACAAAAATGCCAATACGCTGAAAGCTGAAAGCACTAGTCGGCATCTCTCCTTCTGGAGCAGTCACCTTTATTTCAGATTTGTGGTGTGGTGCAATATCAGATAAAGCTCTCTTTTTAAAAAGTCAGTTACTTGATTTGCTCGAGGAAGGAGATTTAGTATTAGCTGATAAAGGATTTACAATTAATTCAGAATTATCTAAGAAAGGGTGTCATTTAAAAATACCGCACTTTTTGAAAGGAAACATTCAGTTCACTCTTGAACAAAGAAGTGAAAATAAAGCTATTTCCAATAAAAGAGTGCATATTGAACGGGCAATAGGAAGAATAAAAATATTCCGCTATTTTGAGGGAGCTATTCCATATAATAGCCTACATAATTTAAATGAGGTGTTTTTTATTGTTGCATTTTTAACGAATTTTAATAAACCTCTGATAAATGTTTTACCATTAAATTCTGAAAAAAAAAAAAAAAAAAATAGTTAGATGGTTAATGTATTCCCAAATATGTGTACATATATTTTACTTCATACCATTTGTTAACGGAAATATTTTTTGTTTTATAAATCTGTGTACTTTTTAAAATCTTATATAAAATGATTAATTTTAAAAAGTAGTTTCATATTCTTTTGTTATATAATGAAAAAATTAACATAGATCATCAGTCATTTGAAGATAAAAATGTATTATCATTATTCTACCATTGTATTTAGTTTTATTATCGCCGCTCTATGAGAAATGTAAATTTCGATATGCATGTATAGAACAAGGAAAATAATTGTATAATATAAATAATAAATCAGAGGTGCAATATAAAAATTAACACAAATAAACACATCATCAGAACTCCTTCCATATTAGCAACATAACTTTGATAAAGCAAATTCCAGTGAAATTTCAACCAGTAATACATTTATATGGCTAATCTTTGGAATATGGTAACAAGTAGTTTGGCGACATTTTGGTAAGGTGATAAAGGTTACTAGCTAGGACTTTAGCACTGTACATGGATAAAGTCAAGAGTGTGCGCAATGCCATTTTTGTGTAATTCTGGGATGTTTTTTTAAGTGAAAATAGGTCGACATGTATATGGATACCGTCTATGTCGAATTCTTAAAAACGCCGCAAGCAGTTTGCGATTCTGCACTTTCTCCCAATTTCGCACCTAATCTTCGTCATGATTAAGCATTTTTGTTCCATAAAAGTTCTAGTATAAGCGTAATTCGGCTAACAGATTGTTGGAAAAAATGTTGAGTAAAAAAAAAAAAAAAAAAAAAAAAACATGCCTTTACTTCATGAAAACAAAATGGCGTCCAAAACAAAACTAGCAGGTTGCTGTAGTGGGGTTGGTTGCCAAATTTTTGCCAAGTTACCATAATCCAAAGATTATTTATTGATTTGTTTTATTGCTATGTATATACTGTATATACTCGCATATAAGTGACAAATTTTAAGAAAAAAATCAAAGTTCATAGTAGGGGGCCGACTTATACACAGAACCTAAAAATATATCCAGCGGCATTGCCGCCGATTGATGGCACGTCGGAGAAATTGATTATTAAATATATCGTTCATGCAGTAATTTTTTTTAATTTATGTTTTTTTTTTTTTTTTTTTTTTTAATTCAACATCTGATGTCGCAGACCAATTCAATCTGATGATGGCGCAGTCTATCCAAGTGAGGCTTATTATCTGCTAAAATGGAAATAAAAAAAAATTCACTAAATCGTGAATTAAATTTTATTGTGAACATTGGAATGTTGTTTTTATTAGTGGCAATGGCATTGCTCAACAAGTTTGTTTTCCCAAAAATGTTTCTCAAATGTAGGAGAGTGAACTTATACAGGGTGTGTATAATATATATACACTGATATATGTATAAATGGGGCAAATTGGCAGGGCTTTTGTTTGTATTCAAGTTATTCATGTAAAAAAGTTTTCAGTGTGATTATAGCCACACAGTGGGAATTAACAGACTCTAAGCATGCAATGGTAGTTGGAGCTAGATGCATGGGACATTCCATTTTGGAAATTAGGGAATTCAACATAGAGAGGTAACAAGAACGTGCCGGGAATACGTAAGTTCAGGTATAACCTCCCATCATGGACACAGTGGCCAATCACCTGCACTTAATGACTGAAACAACACTGCATGAAATAACTGCAGAAATCAATGTGGGATGTATAATAGACATGTCTGGTAGGAAATTTGGTTTTAATGGGCTATGGCAGCAGAAGACCAAGCAGAGTCTTCTATGTCAGTGGCAAGTAGCAAACTATGTATGTGCGATGGCAATAGTAAAAAGTATGGTCATTACTTACACTTTCTCGGTTCAAGTATAATACAAAGTCCGAAATCCGGACCTTAAAGCCACGAACATTTTTTTTTTGGGGGGGGGGTATACTTTACGCATACGCATTTGATTTTTCCTTCCGTAATAAAACGTGGAGATTTTCACTTAAAAATTCCGATTGTTAATTTCACTTAGGCACTAAAAAAATACCTCATGGAAAAACAATCATGTAAGCATAAATTTGTGAGATTAATAATTTGGATCCTTAGTTGAGTATCTGCTTAGCATACATCTCAAATCAAACATTCACCTGTTTTATATCACCAACAGCGATCTGGCGAGTCATTATTCATTATATTTTGCTTTCATCACCGCATGTTTATCAATACATGGCAGCTTCAGTAATAACTCATGCAGTGATGTCTAAACTTTTTCATATATATTAGTAATTGAATAACAAGAGTATGGCAACCTTTTATGCTAACATTATGCTTGGTGATGATTATAGATTTTTAAATGCTTTAAGAAATGTTGACAAAGAAAAATTTAACAAAAATTTCTTTTCATATGCTAAAAATAGATTTTGTTAATGAAACTCTTAGGCCAAAGGATTACATTTAGTGCTATATTAATTAAGAATAACTGATATGTTACTCACCATAAACCCAGAAGCGGCAGCAGAATTTAGGGAAGACAAAATTTTTGGAATTTGGGGAAGCACCAAGTGGCAAAATTAAGGGATGAGAAGTTTTTTATGATTTAGGGAAAGCACCTGGGATCTAAAGTTTAGGCACGGTGAAAATTTATAACTTAAATAGGTGCTTTGTAGCAGAATTTAGGACCCGTACAGACTGCACCAGGCGGTATCTAGCGCCACCCCTAGATAAAGCCTTAATAGAGTAAACAAATAAATATTAAGCTTTTTTTTTGTAAATTTTGATACCCTTTTGTTTAACCATAATTGTTCTTTATTTCATAAATTATGAATTCATATTTTTAATTGTATAATTTCTGCATGCCGTCTCACCAGATTTAAATTGATGATCTGATATCCGGAAAAATCCCAAATCCAGAATCGCCAAGGTCCCGACGAGTCCAGATTTCGGACTTTGTACTGTATTGGCCATTGTGTTACAGCTTGTAATTTGATTTATTTTAAACTCTTTCATATAGAAAACAATATCAGTCTGTGCACCTTATAGATCCATTTTAACTGAATTATTTTATTAGTAAGATTTGTTAAGTATCACATCAGATTTTAAGAAATGGTCAAATTCCTTTTTCCAATGATTTAAATCAAAGAGCTAAAGTTGTAAGAAATTTAGTTAGTTTTCAGTCACATCAAACATGCTAAGGAAATATTGATTTCATACTGATCCCAATACATAATTATACCTTAAATGAGTTAAGTCCACCAAAGGCTAGATGAAAGAATGATCAATTATTGATGATTATTTAAAGTAATTACAGCCTTAATGTAAAATGGTATGCAGGTCCCCGAGAACAAATTCTCTATTATCCACTATACTGTGGGGGTATCACTGTTACCAACAGCTCATTGTTGCCTGCTTTTATACATAAAGGCAAGTTACATATTTATATAATTCTTTTTACAGCTAGAACATGTCAATAATAGTATATTGCTCACAATGTATATATGAGATTTCAGATATACTGCCAAGATAAAATTTAACATCTTAAACAGAACTTAATGTAATGATTAAAATAAAAATTTTTAAGTTGTTGTTTCAAATTATTCCAAAATACAGGATCAAAATGTATAATCTGTGTATGAATATAATTTGGATATTTGTAATAAAAAGTAAACTGGCATTCTGTTAAATTACTTATCGCTAATTGCCCTTGAATCTGATAAAAGTATGCATGAGTTGTTTTAAGCTTCCAAATTCCATCTACATTGTATAAACAAAAATTTGGTCTTTTGGCAAGCTGATTCAGCTCAACATTTTCAGGATTGTAACAGCATTTTATTTCGACAAGCCGAACATTTTCTTTGTTAAAAAGTAAGCCATCAGGTGATGCACACAAAAATGGAATACGTGGGTTGGTAACAACCCCAACTTTTCTCAAAATATAAGATTCATTTTGGCTCCTGATAAAATTTCTAATAACACTTTCATGTCTGGAACCAAATGAGACTGCTGGCAATTTGCTGAGGTCTTTTTCATGATTTCTGTATATATTTGCTGCCAGTGTATCAAAGTCTGCCATCCTGTGAGCAATACTATGAAAGGCAGAAGCTGTTAGTCTTATCTGACGGTGGTTCTTCCACAAATTGCTCTCACTCTGTTCTGTAGTTTTAAGCTCTATCTCCCATGCTTCTTCTAGGCTACATTTTATGTTTTGATGAAAGTAAAGCACCTCTTCTATATTTAAGAAATCGGGCATTTCAATATTTATCCTGGTACATACCAATGCAGGTAGGGGAATTGTTCCGACTTGAAATAGATGGTCTGTACATTCCAGTACAGAGAATATTGGGAAATTACAGTTTTCTCCAAAAAGTGCTGAAAAGTTAACAGAATTCGTGGTTGAATAATTGGAAGCATGTGGCTTAAATATATCTGAACTCTTTTTTGGTGATAAGAGTTTTGGCCTTGGTTGATGCCATTTTTGTAGCTGTTCAGTTGGGGCTTCATATAATTTTTTTTTGACTATAATCAACTAATGCATAAAGCAATGCAAAAACATGCTTGCAACTTGCAGGATTAGATCCACCAGGGCACTCACAAATAGCAGTCTGAATCTATAATAAAAAATATGAACATTAATGAAATTCTGGGACCAACTATGCAAAGTTGTTACAATTTATTCAGTGGGTTTCAAAGTCCAATAATTTTTAAGTTATGAATCACACACACATTCATATATGTAAACTTAAATATGTTAAATATTTAAGTTTACATATAGAGGCATTCTTGTGTTCATCTCATGCAGCCAATAAGTGACCATTTATGAAAATGTTGAAGTATTTTGTGTTTGGAAATATGCAACATTTATATTTTGTTACTATGCAAAATTATTTCAAAGCACCACAATGCAACTGTATATTCCAAAAAGCCACCAGAATATGAGATGGTATTAGACAATTTAAGAATAATACTTGCCTATGTAAAGGCAACAACTTTAGATGGCCAAGCATTTCTAAAGAGAAAGTGTCGAAAAAGTTACAATACATGTTGGGAAGATTGGGATACTCATTTCTATGTACATCATAAAACCAGAACAACACATATTGAACATTTATAGTTTTATCAGTAAAATATGAAATATTTCTACTTGATTTCAAATAGTATTAATTAACTTAATAGTTTTTTAATAATTATAGTTTTTAAAATTATTTTCAGTACTTTTTTGAAATCTTATGAATCATTTGCAATAATAATTCTGTATACTGCAAGAGGAAATACATAAAATAATGCTCATGTATGTTGTTCTACAATAATAATGTAATTACTATTATAATTTTAAGTCACAATTTTATCAGCCTGACAAGCACAAGATGGTTTTCAAAAATGTTAGACTAAAATGTCTGGAACATTATAAATACAGTTGCCCTAAAATTATGTGACGGTAGTGATACTAATATGATACACAGTTCAAAATTAATACATAATTTTGTACCCCTTGAAATTTAATTGTTCATAACCGATTCTAAATCTATAGATAGCATGAACTTCATATTAACATTTATTTTTTATATTACAGTAAAAATGTCAAAAAGAAGATTGTATTGATTTGCACAACTGAGTTCGCTGTAATTCTAGCTGTGAAATTAATAATTTTTTTATCATAGATATTTCTTTATTTTATAGTAGAAAGCGATAAAAAAATACTACATTTATGCGTATTGATTAAAACTAGATTCTAACAGCCACATTATTAAAAACACAACGTAACGAAATTAATAAAAATTCAATGGTATAATATGTTCTCTATGGCACTCAATTAATAAGAGAAAATTAGCTTGGTGTTTATGTTTTTGCAAATAAGCAGATCTTGCGTGAATTCAACTATTTCAATAATTTAGAACAACTATGCATAAACTATTAACAAATATTTACATGATTATGTTTGCATTTTAAAGTTTGGAAAACATTATTCAAGGTCTCGGGAATATTTTTCAACTATTGATATACACTTAATATTCCTAGGAAAGTAAAACATGAATATTGGTAGGTATTATGCATAAAAGAAAATTTATGAATCTTACCTCATTTTCTGCAGAAATTTGCACAGACGTTTTATAATTAACTGTTTTCTTTATTTCTGCCTTAACGCAGCTTACTATAAATACCCTACTATCTGACATTACTTGAAAACAAATATTATTCACATGCTTTTCCTTGAACAAGAGAAGGCCCTTTTTATTGACATCAAGAAAAGAGAAATCACTTCCAAGAGTACTTTTTAATTTTTCACAATAGCTGTAAATTTCTAAATTAGAAAAATCAATTAATTTTAGTGGTACATCTGCTATAGACTCCATCGTAAACAGCGCACGTGCGGAGATTGTTGTCACTAGATCACGGGACCACTTTTTTCCTCTTCTTCTCTTGCGGAATGTATCTCATTCAACCTCTTCCCCTCTGTCTACGCTAGACTACTGCGTTATGCCCTATTTTCCTCCTTTTTGCTCTTCTTATCTCTTTCTCACTAATTTATAATTCCTCAAAATTTTTTTACCTTCCACACAAAGATATAATCTCTTTTTTTACCAAAGGGACGTTACACTCAATGGGCTATTAGTTTCAAAACGGCATTTTGCGTCGTTTCACTTTCTACGTTAGTTCACTTTTCAAACTATTGACATCAGATATTATTGCGGTGTATTGTGTTTAAAGAAACTGAATAAAAAAGAATCTGCACGAATGCATAAATTTTTCTCGCATTGTGAAAAAGAACGGTAGCTAGAGATATCAAATTTTGAATATAATAGCTCTTCAACCGAACATGTGCTTTTGGAAGCCCGAATTTTCAATTTCGAATATATTTTATTATCTATTTCAAATTTTGTAAAACTTTAACGAATTTTTGATTTACAGACTCAACGATTTCAAAGCGAACAATTCGAAAAAAAAAAAAAAAAAAAAAAAAAAAAAAGGCGCAAGACTGTGTGCCGGAAATTCTAAAGATATGCTGTTTTTCTGATTTGAAATATTTTCTGATATTGCTATTGAATTGATTTTATGTTGTTTAGATGTCAAGAACATAATATTCCATAAATAAAGGTAATTCACAAAAGGTTTAAAAAAAGGGCCGCTTTTAAGTTTTACGTATTTATCCTGTTCTGCGCATGCTTTAATTTTCTGAAGGTAGGCGGTTCCTGATCTTAGGCAATCCTAAATTTCTGTTCCTTGGCTTTGATGTCCTTGATTACCCTCTAAATAATTTGTATTCTAATATTTTCAGCTAGCCTTTCTCAGATTTTTTCCAAGTGTGGCCCTATTTCCTAAATCAGAATATTCTGCTGATTATTTTATTATTGGTCCCTTCAAAAGCAATTTTTTTAACATATGTTACTATAGGCACATGGGTATTCTTCGGAGAACAGCCTCGCTGGCGCCAACTTGGTCTGCGTCAAGGCTGTTCTCCGAAGAATATATCATATTTCTAAAATGCACTTCATTAAAATTCCTCTTATTAATATTTATATTGAATAATAAAGTTAGTGAAAAATGATTTTTATTCGTTTTTAACATCTGAAGTTTATTTGGTCATCTTAGTTGGGCTTATCCGGTTGCTGTTGGTTGCCTCAGATCTGTTAGGGGCACCGGCTGCCAAATGTCAGAGTTTATATAGAAGCCCCTGCTATGCTTGTGTCTGTAATATTTTAATTTAATCTGAAATTAGTCTTAAAATTAAATTTGCTGTAAGATTAATCCTTGCTCTCTCTCTTTTCTTTTATTTAATTTTTGCCTTTGTTGATATAACTGTTGTGTAAACTGTTTGCAGGGAATCTGGCAACAATTACTTTGTCTGTCTGTCTGTCTGTCGTTCAAAGTCTGTGCAAGCCCTCGTTGAAGCGCATTGCTACACGCTGTCCTATCGACGTAGATTGTGGTAAGACGTAGCATATTGTGTCCTTTGCTAAGATTTATTCCTGAATAGACATGGTTTTTCAGTCAAAAGCTTCAGGGACGCCAAAAGGTGATCAGGTAAGATGTCCTATTCTTATAAAGAATTATTTTTACCACGTGGTTGTGAGATATGATTTAGCCAAAACTAACCGGCTTGGTATATAAATAAAAAAAAAAAAAAAAAAAATGTAGGATGTTTCATGAATTATGTAAGAAATCGGTAGTTTGTAAAGAATTATTAAATATTGAGTATCAATATGTATCAGATAGTGAACAGAATTGATCTGTTTCGTAGGCTTAGTTATGTTCTACCGGCATGTGTTCCTGAAAGTATCTCTAAAATTTAGTCATAAATCTTCTTTGTGTTTGTGATTGAGAAATGACTATGTAAATTTGAACTAGAACATAAAAAAAAAAAATGCATTTGATATAACTATTTACTACAGAAAATAGTCATGTGCGTATGTTTTTATTATGGAATGCATTTTCACCGATCATGCTGAAAAGTGAGGCGATTTTTGATTAAGACTACTTAGGGGTACTTTTCATTTTTATGTAGTGATTTATATCTTATAAGTCAACTCCGATTCTTGAAGTTGTATCGCATAATGATTGAATTATTTTTTCACGTGCCTTTTTATTTTAAAGTGTGCAAAAATGTATCTGATTTAATTTCGTTGTGTAACAGTAAATTGAAATAACCTTTTGCTATTTCGCGTGAAGAGTTATAAAGCCGTCTTAGTAAGAAAACTGAACATTGATATGATGAAATGAGAAAAGACTGAAAAAAACTTTGAATTTATTCAGAGATTTCTGAGGCATGTTGCATTGAAAACTAAATTGAACTTGTTTCCAGTTATTGAACCAAGGGTGAAAATGGTTAGACCATGTATAGGCTCTAGTGTAGAATTGGGTGCCCCTTCAATCAACGACAATTTTTTGTAAAATTTTGGCGATGAAATCTCATTTCTGGTTACCATGCCTCCTGATTTTTTTTTTAATTAAAATAGATTGATGTGTACATGGACAAATTTAAAGCAGTGCGCAATGCCTAGTTTGTACAATTCTGGAATGATTTTTTTTAATGAAAGCAGATCGATGTGTACATGGACACAAAGTTTATGCAATTCTTTGACTTATTTTAGGTTTTGTGTATCTGCCATCTTGAAATTGCATCTTCCTGGTGCTGATCTTAGCATCAAAAAAGAATCGCCAAAAAACAAAGGGCTCCCAATTGTAAACTTTTAGCACAGCTTTAGTATTAGTTTTATTTGGCAACTTTTTATATGATTAATGACAAATTATGGTAACCCTGTTTACTAGTATTTCCCTTTTGGTTTAATCCTAGTATCCGGTACACACAGGATTTGGGGACTTTTATGATGAGCAGTAAAAACGGGACGTATACGATGAGTAGTAAACGGGTCATTTAAAGAACATATATAGTGTATAGTATATACATAGACGTTCTTTGGGCCATTTTTGGTGGTGGCGATAATTTTCAAAATCACGCCAAGGCTGCACCATATACTAGGATTTTACCCCCTTTTTTTTTCTGTGCAGTGAGTGCGGGATTGTTCGATTGGGAGGTTTATTATTTTTTATGGTTTGTATTTCAAGTAAGTTTTTTTTTTTTTATTTTTTCAGCATGCCTTCCATTTTAAGTGTGTTTATTAAGTATCAGGGTTTGCTAAAGAGTTTGGTTAGTTGGACTTATTCCAATAACAGGCCAACTTTGGGGAAACGAGTTTCCAAATAGGAATTTTGTTACTGCTTTGTGTAACAACAGGGATTTTTTTCTTGACTTTTTGAGGGAAGCTGATTTAGTGAAAAGTAATTTAGTATGCTTGAAGTGTGGAGGGCTCATGAAGCGTGCTCCTAACGTGAACGTGCGATGTTCTTCTCGTCAGCTACTCTTACCGATTGGCGTCAGTTCATTAATGAAGTTATTCTCGATCACGTTGATCTGACGTCTGAGAGAATAGGCAAGATCGTCGAAATTGATAAATCTAAATTTGGCAAGAGGACATTGGGTGGAGGGCAAAGTCCGTACAGAAAAAGGTTCACGCATAAGAGGGAAAACGTGTTGAATGGTCAACGACATCATGACGTCACAGAAAGACAGGGTTGCCACGCTACCTGGAGAACCGGGAAAAGTCAGGGAATTCAAAAATTGACCAAAAACATTCAGGGAAAAGTCAGGGAATTTAAGTATTTTTGTCAAAATCTGGAAAAGTCAGGGAAGTTCATACAATGATCCCGCCAAAAAAAGCGATTTTTGCGCCGACGTCGGAAGAGATAACTTTTTTGGCAAATTGCGTATCACGTGAGTGTCATTCGGGCAGCTGGCATAGAGCCAATTTTCGCAGCTCCAATTTGATTGTCTTTTAGAAAGGCAAAGCAAGTTTCCTGAAACTTTTGGTTTCCAGTATTCTCGAGAATCGCATGTGCAGTGCATGAACTAAAGAAAGTACCTGTTCTCGTATAAAACAAAATTATACGAGAACAAAATGGGTTTAATCTTAGTATACGGTACCATGGAGGTTAGAATCAAAGAATATGTATTGTAAAGAAGGAAAACCTCTCTGCAACAGACGTGGCTCCGTTCCATCATAGAGGGAAACAGCTGTGCATGCGTGATATATCTGCTGCCAAAGCTCGAAACCGGTGTGGAAGTTCGAAGGTCACGTTATCAAGAGTTCATTAAATGAATATCCTTTAAAATTTCTTTAACCACTTGCGCTAAAAAGACGTGCTACGCACGTCGAGATGTTTTTGTCTCAAACTGCGAGCGACGTGAACACCACGTCGATAAGCATTTATCGCAAAAATGAAAATAACATGGTGCACACGTCGTCTAACAACGAGATTGTTTATTTTTCGACTTACAGCTCTGGATTGCACTCGCAGATGCGGAGCGGCGTAAATGAGCCACTTTACCGCTTGCTATATTGTAGCGCACGGCACCGCAACCGTGAAGTTTAGTCGTAGCGCAAGTGGTTAAACTCAAAAGGAACAGAAAATATTTTTTGCCGCAAGTAAATTAATTCATGGGTTAGTAATTTTCAGGGGGGGGGAAACTACGAACATCCATTTTTAAAATTATTGCGAAAAATCTAAGAAGAAATGTCCTTTGATAAAACCTTTCTTGGATTTTTCGCAATAATTTAAAAACGGATTTTCATAGCTTTCTTTTTGTCAAAGAACGTTTCTTCTTAACACGTTTCTCAATTTCCGGTACACATCGCGGAGGGGGAAATTCTGGCCGCCAGGTTCCGTCGCCAAATCCCTTGGCATATTTTCCCTCCGCATTCTAGCGGCGTAATAGCATTTTACTTGTATGGAACCTTTTCTTCTTTACATAGACCAAAGAATTAGAGATTCTTTGGTTAGAATTGTATGGTACAATGGGATTTGGCAACATGATGATGCACAGTAAACGAGTCATTTTGGTCTTGGCGACAATTTTCAAAATCGTGCCCAAAGCCTTACCGTATACTAGACTTTTACCGCAAAATCTTTTTAAACTTTTTTTTTTCTTTTTAATAAATACCTTGCCATTTTGCAGTAAAATAAAAAAGTAGTAATCTGTCATCTAGGCTAACCATGTAATATAACTATATTCGCTAAAATATCGTTGATTATTCTAATTCAGTTTTTAAGTATTATCTTTATTTTTATGTTATTCGTATAATTTAATGATGCTTCTTCCTCTAAATTTATTTATTATTAGTAATAATATTTCCAAATTTCAGGAAATTTTCTCTGGCATAATCTTGAAATTAATTCTAGCAGTATGATGACATACCATCACGAAATTTAATGCACATATTTTTCCTTATGTATGCTGCGAAATAAATATAAAATACCTCAATTTATTAAAATAGATTTCTTTCTTTCTTTTAGCTGCAAAATGTCTGCCAAAAAAAAAAAAAAAAAAAAAAAAAAGCCTTATTTTATTCCAGATTGGGAAGATTCTAATCTTAATCTTCAATGGATTTAACAACAACTATTATAATTTTATATTTGTGTTTTCAAGTGTTAAGGTGCTTTTAAGAACATACCTCACACAAATTAAATTTGTCTAAAATCTAACCTAACTATTTAGCATTCCGTTGTGATTTATAAGGACCGGATTAGCCTCGTGTTGAACTGGTGATGATCATGAGTAATAATTAAATAAAACATACATTGTTATCCAATGTATATATCTTTAAATTTTATTAAGTTTCTTAAGTGGAAAAGTAAACAAAATTATCAAACAAAGTATACCAAGAATAATTAAGAATAAATGTCCTCTGGGATTTATTGAATAATTAAGTGAATTTGCTACACAATACAAGTAATACCATAATTAATTTACCTCTTAGCGTAGCCAAAGTACATTACGCGGATAGACTGGAATTTTCTTGAAACACACCTGGAAAAGTCAGGGAATTTCATTCTCCTGTTTGAGTGGCAACCCTGGAAAGACCTCTGTCACTTTCTCTCATACTACGAGGGTAGAAACTATGGTATGTGCTTGAAAAGATTTGCGCTTATTTAACTGTTCTTATTTGCTAGGTATTTTCATAGTTGAAGTGTTGAAGAAAGATTAAGTAAACCATAATTTAACATGTATAAATATCTAATAAACGTTTTGTATTGACATACATACAATTTTTGAAATATATATTTTAAACTTAAGGTATCAAATAAATAAATAAATGAACACTGACATAAGAAATAAATTTGCATTGTACATACCCTTATTTCTTTGACATATTTTATACCTAAGCATATAATATCTAAGACAGTATATAAAAATATGTTATAAAAATAAACTTTGAATGATTTAAACCAAGGGCAAATTAAGTTCAAAACTAAAATCAAATTATGTGCTGTAAATTGCATAAATTAGTGGCTATATTTATTAAATTCTAAACAATCTAAGCTAACTCAAATATCATACTGAATCAGGAACTGGCACATAAGAAACTTGCAAATGCTACTGTAAAAAAACAAAATAGATTTTTGCATTTGCAGATTTTTTATGTGGCAATTCGCTATTTCAGAGTCATATTTTTAGTCCAAAGGTG